GTGTGTGCATTGTCGTAGGATATCGTACAAACTGTTGTTAGTTTATTTTCGCAGAATATTGTGTAAATGGTTGTCTGTGCATTTTCATACAATGCTGTATGAACTGATACGTGTGCATTTTTGTACATATCGTATGAACCATTTTGTGGGCATTTTCGTGGTGTATCGTACAAACTGTTTTATGAGGATATGTTGAATAATGGATAAAAAAATCCCTTAAGAACATTTAAAGATCATACTTAAGTACATCAGTTGAGTAAATGTCCGTAGTCACTTTCCATCAGTGCTGAGAAACGTTTAAAATCTGGAGGCTGTGATAATAAAAACAGTGTGCTGGACGTGATGCTGCCGGCCGACCCACAGATCTGAGGACTGTGTCTGAATATGGACAGTGTGGTTGTGTATCGATCGGTCTGTGGGAGCTGTATTGTACCTCCTCAGCATCACATACATTACAGCAGCAGCACAGAATAGATGGCAGAACAATGTATTTAAAGGCATTACACTCCAACTAATGGCGAGTCTTTAGAGAGAGCCTCAGTCATTTAGCCTGTGAGTGGTCGGAGCGCTCAGTTCCCAGCACAGCGTGATTTAAAATGATGTCCTCGCTGGACTACATTCACTCCGATTCAATTTGGAAATGTATTCATATTTACTTAGTGTACCTGCATTGCATTTGTATAGATCAGCCGAGGGTAAAAGTAAAATTGAGCAAATTGAATCAACATATCGGGACATACGGGGCGGGTGTATGGAGTCTGCAGTCGGGGTCACTCCAATGCCTTTTATGATGTCCCTCTGAAATCTATCTGAATCACATTAAATTGGATATAAAGATGTGCAGACACATACATCACAGTAAATGGTGTGGTGCAGCATCGCTCGCCAAGAATCCCACCTCAACAATCGGGTTATAGAATCGGCTTTAGATCCTATTAATAATTCACAATCTTGTTAGGGGAGAACAAACATTTCTGTTCAAGCAATTTGAGTTGTGGGATTGTTATTGTAGCCGGAGCTGTGAGAGACAGAGAGGCTGTGAGACGTAAGCTCGGCTCTGTGTGGAACAATAACTCCATGCTATTTCACACTCTCTGCTTTCTTTATTAAAGCACCGTCACAGTAAACATGTCTCGCCTCGACTCAGCTGTGCACACGCTCCCCGCAATCCTTCTCTCCTGTCTCATCCGCCGCACAGCAAGAAGACATTTTACTCTTATTATTATTGTTATTATTGTTATTACATATACAGCTGCAATAATCAGGTCATCATCTCATACAGTGTCTGCACTTCACAGTGTGTCAGGGCTGCAGATAACAATTAGTTTCATTATTGATCCTTCTGACAATTATTCTCTCCTTTAATGAACGAGACAGCAGCCGTCTGAAAAATATTAAAGGAACTCTCAAAGAATAAAAGAGCACATTTAACATTTTAAAACATTAAAGAGGCTCCACTTTGCTGAAAGGTGCTTTATTATTTATGTGTATAAATACATTAATGTCTAGAAACAGATGAGTTACAGATATATTTGAGCGGCAGGTTTGATACCAGACAGAAACTACATTCAGTAATGATAATAATAATGATAATATAATACAGCCAATAAGACGATGGGAAAATTGATCAGATTTTAAGAAGCGATAATAATAAAAGATATTTGTCAAAAAGAGAGTGTCCACATATTTCAGTTTAGTTTTCTTATATATATATATACTCACTGTTATTCATCAAAAATTCTTTCTTTTAACAGAGATCAAACAGAAGTGACAGCTTCAACTTTAACTGATATAAAACATGATTTATAAACACAATAACATACAAATATATATATTTACAGTATAAAATAAGATACATAATTAGACATCATGTGTTGTGTGTGATTCTTTTTAAACATAATTTAAAAGTAAATATTAAAATGTGTTTGTATGACGTTTTTCACCGACACAAGTCACAAAGTCTTTTTATACAACATACAAGAAAGACGTCTTGTGACTTCATGAGCCACACTTTTACAGATGCAACACTAACTGCACGATATCTGATGACACATGACATGAAAACATATATACATATATATATATATATATAAGACCATGTTTAGGTTTATAAACAGAGAAGAAGAAGATCAACTCGTCTGGTTTCATGATGATTTAAAGAAGATACTAAAAGATATTAAAACATGCAGAATATTTATATATATCAAACACACACACACACACACACACACACACACACACATCCTGTCTGAATATTTATCCTGTGTATAAAGTTATATGTTTTAATTCTGTCTGAACGACTTCAGTTTGATTCATTAAACCTGGTTTGTGTTTATTTACATGTTTGTATTTCTGCAGGTTCACGTCTCACGTTGGACTGAAGTCATGTCTTTTTCTTCTTCTGTTTTGTGTCGTGAATATTCAGATGTCAAACCCAAACTAACCAAGTCTTCATATTCCAGGAGCCGAGGCTGTTGGTTTAAAAAAACAATTCACTGATCATCAAACAGTTGCTTTTGATCAACTAATCGATCGATGGACTCGTCTCCTCAGCGCTCTGCTTTGTCACAGTTGAGTTTTACATTTAAAGAAACTAACTCTCGTGTTTTGGAGTTGGTTCCTGAATCCTGTTGTGATGTCATGACGCTGCTGCAGACTCCGCCTCCACCGCAGGAAACAAACATCTGAATCACTGCAGCTGTTTGAACAAACAGCTGATTTAAATGTTAAATCTCTGTTTGTTGACAGGTTAAAACTGACATGTGGTGAAGAATGTAATGTCCAATGTCTTTTATGATGTTTTGTCTGACAGTTTGACGTCTTGTCATGTTGTGCGGATGACGTGTTTATCAGAGACAAAGTGTGTGTGTGTGTGTGTGTGTGTGTGTGATCTTGTCGATGTTTTTGTCCTGATTATTTATGATCATTTAAATTTCATTATCATAACTGTTTTATTTTATTTGTACGTCTGTTTATTTCCACGTGTTTGTGTCATAGGAGCGCCCTCTAAAACGAGCTGCACGGGTTTATCCATCATCCTGTGACCCTCTGTGCGGTCGCGACCCGCAGGTTGGGAACCGCTGCTCCAGCTCATAGACACCCCCCTCTACCTTTTCCACTATCCAGAGAACCAGCCGGCGTTTCATCAGGTTTGAGCAGAACTGTTGTGACCAAGGATGCGTCATTGACGGAGGCGTTACACAACGCTTCAGCTCTGTCAGCACAAGTGTTTGTTTTTCTGCTAAAAACCAGGTCAGAGACTGTTATGTGCAAGACTCTGTCCTGTCTGTCCAGCGTGTAGAATATGACACGCCCACTGATGTCATCACCGTTTGCAAAATGGAGTGGAACTGGTGCCATGTTGGTGGAAATGCTCCCCTTCTGGTGTCCTTTGCACTTTGCAAGTCAAGAAAGTCACAGATTGCTCAGTGAGTTCCATCTCTCGTCCTGATGATACACGTCACCAACATGGCCGTCACCATGGCACAAATGTGACGTCATCCCACCTGCTGTGTTTTATCCCGAGGCTCCAGGGCTCTCATTTATAAAACAGTGCGTAGGATCCAGACATGAAATCTACGTACGGACAAACGCCAAAAAACCTTTGACAGTTTCTACAGTCAGACTCCACCTCACCGTCTGCGTCGCCGACTCCCTGTCTCCAAAATATCTGTAAGCATGGGTCAAAGTTTCTCCATCAAGTCTGTTTTTAGATCACAACTTTTGCGTGGGAGGTGGCGTACACGTCCTTCAGGCCTCGCTTTGTGCGTACGCCACGTTTACAAATGAGACTCCTGGTCTGTGATCAGCCGGGAAACCTAAGTACGAGCAAAACCTGTCACTGCTGCTCGAGTACGTCCTGGTGCTAAACTTCAGTTAGAGAGAAAGTCATGACGGCACTTAGTCTTTCTGATTACATATTTTCACAGTCTTAATTTCAAGATTTTCTTGTCTTGTAAAATTTTCTTTTAAACTGACAAACAGCATTTTGTAATTCGTGCCACAATGTAAACTGTATCCAAACAATGTTTTTGCCAAAAACTACCGTTTTTTTTTTTTTGTTTTTTTAAGCAACATTAAAAATATAGACTGAGGGACGATATAAATGATCCTCCTGACATCATCTCTCTTTAACACCTCTTCTACCAGATTAGCTCTGGTTCTTGAACCGTTTCTGTTCAGGATTCTTAGAACCTTGGTGCCATCCAGAGAACCAGCCCGGGTCTCCTCCAGTTTTTAGACAAACCATTATAATAAAGGAAGTGACATCAGCAGAGGGCGCGGCACAACACGGCACTGATTACCTGCAAACCAACTCTGCAGGTTCTGAATCAATTTATTTTGGTTGAAATGCAGGAACTTGAATGGAGCTGGTTCCATGTTGGTGAAAGAGGGAGTGTACTGTGTCACGTATATCATGTTGGAATATAAAAAATATTTGGAGGAAAAAGTGTGTACGTCCAAACAACTCTGAAAAGTTACTGATGATAGAAATATATATTTTTGTCACATTTCTTTTTTATTTTCCTTTTATTATTATTTTTTTAACATTCTTTTTTCTATTTATTTTTTTTAATTATTAATTTAATGTCTTTTTTCCTTCATCAGATGGGACAGGTGGGGCGTGAGGTCACAGGTTGGAATCAAACCCATGGCTGCTGCAGCAGGGACACATCCTCTTTGCATGGGCCGCCTGCCCCGTCTGTTTCTGTCTTTATTTCTTTGACATTTTGAACATTCGCTCTGTTTCATGATCTCACAGTGTCGACAGGTATCAGACACTTGAATTAAATGCTTTTTAAAACCTGTTTTTAAAACAATTTTAAACCAAATTTAAGACTTATTTTTGTACAAATCTTATTTGTCTGACTGGAGAGCTGCAGGTGAGTGTAAAGGTGAGTGTGCAGAGTCATGTTTATGCAGGAATATAGTTACGAGAGTGAATCAGGGTAATCTATATTCTGCTAACAGTCATGTGTAAGTACAAATTAAAAACACAGTTTTAGGTTCAGTGGGAGGATTTAATATTTGTAACATCAGGAACTTTCACAGACGAGCTCGACTCATTTTGACAAAAATAAATTAAAGATTTTTGTAGGAATTAAGACGTCACAAATTTAGATTTAGGACATTTTAATGACTCATAATGTCTGATTTTTATTTGTTTTATTGAACTGATGACATTTTAAGAGTGTTTCTTCTGTCGGTCAAATCTTTGAAGTCTTTTTTTTTAATTTATAAACAATAATTTATCATGTTTTGTTTATTAATTTGTGTTAAACAGCAGCACTGAATGTAAATCACTGTGGGAGCTGATATCAGTTGTTGGCTAAATTTAAAATGAGAACATTAAATATTAAGTTTGTCTGCTCTGACAGTCAAACACATGTAAAACATGATGTGACTGATTATGGTTGATCTAAAGGTCAGCTCATTGTCTCCTCCAGTTATTACATCCATCTTAATTATCTTTTTATTCATGTTTTTATTCTCATGTACTTTCAGATTTTTATATCTTTGTCTTCACTTATTAATACAAACTTATTCCACACAGCAACAGACACATTTAATCTCCTCACTGTAACTCTGTAAACTGTCTTTGTGTTTGTTGATACATTATATTAAAGATAAAAAAGAAGATGTCCAATAATCAGAGGTGAGATGGATACACGTTTATACAGACACAGTTTTACAAGACTCGATCACCAACATTAGTTTCAGTCTGCAGAGATCCACTCAGAGCAGCAACAAACATCTGCTTTATAAAAAAGCTGACACAGTTTGTGACGCATCCATAATAAAACACAAATTATATTTCAGCTGCTACGTGTCCATGTTTTACACGACAGGCAGAGAAGAAGTGGTTTGGATAGAACTGTGGTTTCCAGTCTGCAGGAAGGATTATTGTGTTGTCATACAGCGCCCCCTGCTGGTGGAAACACTCCTGTCCACACACACACACACACACACACACACACACACACACACACACAGGACGCAGAGTTGATGTGAGGCTTTAAGACTTTAGACATAATAAACATCATATAAAATAAGACGAGTTAAAATGATGAAGAGAATAAACAGCTGTTCATCCCCTTCACATGTCGCCAGGTAACAATGATGATGATGATGATAATGATGAAGATGATGTCAGAGACAGCTGATCAGAGGACGATCCAGTGTCGCCGCTCTGTCCAACTATGATGCTGCTGTACATCTTCTGCTGCTCCTCTTTATACGAGTCCTTCACTTTGCCTCTCTTCAGTCCTCCGTCCCTGAAACACACACACTCCTCATGTCATGTTTACGTCAGGTGAGACACCCCCAGGTGAGAAGAGCTTTTCATGCGCTGGTCAATTTTGAGATTTTGCCTTTCAGGGCTTCCGTAGGATGCAGTGTTGGGTCAGATTACTTTGATGAAGTTACTGGATACAAATTACATTGCAATATATTTAGAGTATCCAGTACTCACCATGCGAGGTCCAGCAGTCCTCCTTTATCAGCGATGGCAGATTTCACTCTATTGGCGAACTGAGCTGCGTCCTCACCATCCTGAGTACACACAGTACATGTTAACAACACACACTGTACACACAGTACATGTTAACAACACACAGTATATGTTAACAACACACACTGTACACACAGTACATGTTAACAACACACAGTACAGAACTGCTTATTCAGAGTGTGTGACAGCGTGTTTATATACATCTTTAAAACATGTTCTGGAATATACAGTATATTCCATACATTCAAACCTTGACTGTATAACCAAACTTTCATTCTATACATTCAAAGTTTAATTCCATATGTTCAAATTTCATTCTATTCATTCAAACTTTCATTCTATATATATTCAAACTTTAATTCCATATGTTCAAATTTCATTCTATTCATTCAAACTTTCATTCTATATATATTCAAACTTTAATTCCATATGTTCAAATTTCATTCTATTCATTCATTCTAAGTTTTCATACTAAACATTCAATCTTTAATTCCGTATGTTCAAATTTTTTATAAATTCAAATTTGTATTCTATTCCATGTATTCAAACTTACATTCTATATATTGAAACTTTCATTCCGTATGTTCAAATTTCACTCCACACATTTACTCTTTCATTCTATGTATTCAGACTTCCTTTCCATATTGTCAAGCTTCATTCTGTACATTAAAACTTTCACTCTATTTCATTTTATATATTCAAATTTTCATCCTACATACTCAAACGTTTTCATATATTTTTTTCATTCCACATGTTCAAATTTCATTGTATATATTTAAACTTTCATTCCATATATTCAAGCCTAAATCCATATTCAAATCTAAACTTTTATTCAATGTATTCAAACTTTCATTCTCTATGTTCAAATTTCATTCTATATATTTAAACTTAAATTCTACACATTCAAGTGTAATTCCATAGATTCAAACCCTTATTCTGTATATTTAAACTATCATTCAAACATTTAAACTTTCTTTCCATATGTTCAAATTTTATTTTATACATTCAAATTTTCATGCTATATATTCAAACTTTCATTCCGTATGTTCAATCTTTGTTTTTATAAATTCAAATTTTTATTCTATATGCTAAAGTTCTATTCCATATATTCAAACCTCCATTCTATATATTGAAACTTTCATTCTATACATTAGAACTTTCATTCCATATCATCAAGCTCCATTCTATACATTTAAACTTTAATTCTATACATTCAAACTGTCATTCTATACATTCAAACTTTAATTCTATACATTCAAACGTTCATTCTATATATTCAAACGTCAATTCTATACATTTAAACTTTCATTCTATGTATTCAAACTTTCATTCTATACATTAGAACTTTCATTCCATATCATCAAGCTCCATTCTGTTCATTCAAACTTTCATTCTATACATTCAAACTTCCATTCTATACATTCAAACTTTCATTCTATACATTCAGACTTTCATTCTATGTATTCAAACTTTCATTCTATACATTCAAACTTTCATTCTATACATTCAAACTTTCATTCTATGTATTCAAACTTTCATTCTATACATTCAAACTTTCATTCTATATATTCAAACTTCCATTCTATGTATTCAAACTTTCATTCTATACATTCAAACTTTCATTCTATACATTCAGACTTCCATTCTATGTATTCAGACTTTCATTCTATGTATTCAAACTTTCATTCTATACATTCAAACTTTCCTTCTATACATTCAAACTTTCATTCTATGTATTCAAACTTTCATTCTATACATTCAAACTTTCATTCTATACATTCAAACTTCCATTCTATGTATTCAAACTTTCATTCTATACATTCAAACTTTCATTCTATACATTCAAACTTCCATTCTATGTATTCAAACTTTCATTCTATACATTCAAACTTTCATTCTATACATTCAAACTTCCATTCTATGTATTCAAACTTTCATTCTATACATTCAAACTTTCATTCTATACATTCAAACTTTCATTCTATGTATTCAAACTTTCATTCTATACATTCAAACTTCCATTCTATACATTCAAACTTCCATTCTATGTATTCAAACTTTCATTCTATACATTCAAACTTTCATTCTATACATTCAAACTTCCATTCTATGTATTCAAACTTTCATTCTATACATTCAAACTTTCATTCTATACATTCAAACTTCCATTCTATGTATTCAGACTTTCATTCTATACATTCAAACTTCCATTCTATGTATTCAAACTTTCATTCTATACATTCAAACTTTCATTCTATACATTCAAACTTCCATTCTATGTATTCAAACTTTCATTCTATACATTCAAACTTTCATTCTATACATTCAAACTTCCATTCTATGTATTCAAACTTTCATTCTATACATTCAAACTTTCATTCTATACATTCAAACTTCCATTCTATGTATTCAAACTTTCATTCTATACATTCAAACTTTCATTCTATACATTCAAACTTCCATTCTATGTATTCAAACTTTCATTCTATACATTCAAACTTTCATTCTATACATTCAAACTTTCATTCCGTGTGTTCAGATTTCATTCTATAAATTCAAACTTTCATTCAGTATATTCAATTTATGTAGGTAAAATCTCATTCTATGTATTCAAACTTTATTTCCAAATGTTCAAACTTTGTTTTATACATTTATACTTTCTTTCTATATATTCAAGTTACATTCAGTGTATTCTAACTTCCATTCCATATATTCCTTCTGTCATTTCATAGACTCAAACTTCAAATTATATATCTGTACAGTATATGTAAACATGTATGAAAAGTTGTGCAGGTCACTAAAGTCTGACGTTAGTTTCACTTCTGTGGTCACTGACTCAAACAGGCTTAAACCACAGTATGATGATTCATGTGACGTCTCCAGTCGGCTGATAATATTCTGTCTGGTCGTCAGTAAATAATGCTGATAAAATATGTGTATTAATGGTGCTTCAGGTGGAGGTGTACCTGTATGGTCATGGGAGGGAGGTACCACACGTTGACAACGATGGCCCAGCTGGTCATCATCCTCAGCAGGTAACTCACCATGTTGTATTTCCCGCTGTTCCAGAAAGCGTCACCGAAGCGAGGGTCGTACTGCGACACACACACACAACATAAGATGCTGTCAGATCTCACCTGCTGAGCTCAGTTGTGTTTTGGTGTCAAAGCGGTCTCGTATTTAACCACAGATTAAATTTATTTCTGAAAGGTTGTTCAGTCCTTTACATACGTGTTGGATTTAACATGAATGAACTGTACCTTGATGGTGACGGGGTATATTGTCCCTCCGATCTCAAAGCTTCCTTTCTTAAACATCATGACTGAAGTGTTGTTGATGCAGGTTCCTGTTTAAAACCAGACAGAAGTTATAAACCATAAAACCACCACCACCACCATCATCATCATCATCATCATCATCATCATCATCACAAGCTTCAGCACAACAGACTCTGACCTTCAGGAAATATCAGAATGGGAAGTTTGGTTTTGGCTGCAACGTGAGCTCTGAGCCTGTGGACAGACGGACAGACAGACAGACAGACAGACAGACAGACAGACTGTCATCAGTTACATACAGACTGCTGTCAGAGGAAGAGACACCACTGAACTTTCACTTTGTTCCTGCGTCCTCCACTCAAACCTCAGCTGAGTCAGTCATATGTTTCCCAGTTAGTTCCCAGTACCTCCAGTTTAAGTGCGAGCTGTATTTGCTCTGTAATACAATCTGAAAGCTCCAGAAGGTGAAGGTCCTGCGAGGTGTTCTTGAGAGATTACGTCAGTGAGAATGAGACAGACACAAAATCACTCTGACCTTGACCTTTGACCACCAAATTCTTATCAGTTGATCCCCAAGTCCAAGTGGACATTTGTGCCAAATTTGAGGGAATTCTGTCACGGCATTCTTGAGATACTATGTTCACAAGAATGAGACAGATATGGTCACAGTGGCCATGACCTTTGACCCCCAAAGTATGATCAGTTTATCGTTTAGTCAAGTGGATGCTTGTGCCACATTGTAAAAAAAAAATCCATCAAGGTGTTCTTGAGACCTTTGACAAGTGAAATCTTGTCAAGGTAATTGTTTGTGCTAAATCTGGAGAAACTCGATCAAGGTGTTCTTGAGTATTCACGAGAATGAGACAGCTGAGGTCACAGTGACCTTGATCTTAAACCTATGACCACCAAATTCTGATCAGCTCATCCTTGATTCCAGGTGGACTTTGTGCCAAATTTGAGGGAATTCTGTCAAGGCATTCTTAAGTTGATATAATCACAAGAATGAGTCATGGTCACAGTGACCATGACCTTTGACCACCAAAGTATAATCAGTTTATTATTTAGTCAAGTGTATGATTGTGCAAAATTTGTAAAAGTTCCATCAAGGTGTTCTTGAGATATTGCGTTTATGACATTGAGATGAATGTAAGGTCACAGTTACCTTGACCTTTGACTGCCAAAATATAATCAGATTTGAGGACATTCCATCAAGGCATTCTTTGGATATCCCATTCACGAGAATGAGACAGATAAAGTCACAGTTACCATGACCTTTGACCACCAAAATCTCATCAGTTCATCATTGCATCCAAGTGAACATTTGTGCCAAATTTGAAATTCCCCACATAGTGTTCTTGAGATACCGCGTTCACAAGAATGAGTCACAGTGAACTTGATGTTTGACCACCAAAATATAATCAGGTCATCACTGCATCCACGTGGATGTTTGTGCCAACTTTCAAAAACTTTCCACAAAGCATTCATGAAATATCACATTTACGAGACTGAGACGGATGCAAAGTCACATGACCTTTGACTACTGAAGTCTAATTAGTCCAACCTTGAGTCCAAGTGGATGTTTGTGCCAAATTTGTAGTAAAGTTTGTCTTGAGATATTGTGTTCTCGACAGCAAGACAAAAACGAGAACAATGATCTTAACTTTTGACATCCAGATGTGGGAGTCATTTTTCACTGATGTTTCCTGCAGCGCCGCCCCCCCTGCTCTGACACACACCTGCAGTAAGCTGCCGTCTCACCTGTTGGTCACGGTGTGGCGGTCTTTCATCTCTGACCTCTCGAACCAGACATGAGGACACGACTTCACCATTGACCTCTGAATGACCCCCATCAGACCGCCGTGGATCTGACCCACCTGAGGACAGGACAGGAAGTGCAGGGCAGTGACATCATCACATCACAACAGCTGATGAAAACAACTCTGACCCGTCTGATGATGACACTCACCATGGCGTAGCAGCCGTCGTTGGCCAGAATCACCACGTCGATAGGCGAGGTGTGATTGGCGACACAGATTCCTCCTTTCTGAGGTCTGTTTTCTCTGCAGACACAACACACGCAGTTCAACATGACACCAGTGACACATTTAAAACAAGACACAGGTAGTGACACGTGATCCTGGTGACAAGTTAAACACGTGTAGTGACATGTGATGACGTTGACAAGTTGAAGTTGCACAGGTTGAGGTGTCACTGACTTGTTGTGGTATTGGATGGTGGCGGACAGTCCTCTGGCACAGATCCTGTAACAGGTCAGATGGACGAGCTCGCTCAGCCAGTTCTTCACACTGAAACAGGAAATAGAAATACAGGAATACAGGAAGTTCATGTCATGTCGGACATATTTATATCTACACCTAGTTCTTCACATCTGACGCCATCGATTCAGCTTGTTGCTGTGTTGCTCTGGCTTGTCGCTTTTGCTTGTTGCTGTGTTGCTAGGTTTTGTTGCTGTGGCTTGTTGCTGTGTAACTTTGGTTGTTGCTGTGGCTTGTTGCTTGTTGTTGTGTTGCTGTGGCATGTTGCTGTGTTGCTATGTCTTGTTGCTGTGTTGCACTGACTTGTTGCTGTGTAACTGTGGCTTGTTGCTTTTGCTTGTTGCTGTGACTTCCTGCTGTGTTGCTGTGGCCTGTTGCTATGGTTTGTTGCTGTGAGTTGTTGCTGTGTAACTTCGGTTGTTGCTGTGGCTTATTGCTATGGATTGTTGCTTTGAGTTGTTGCTGTGCGGCTGTGAGTTGTTGCTGTGTAGCTGTGACATGTTGCTGTGAGTTGTTGCTGTGGCTTATTGCTATGGTTTTGTTGCTGTGAGTTGTTGCTGTGTAGCTATGGTTTGTTGATTTGTAGCTGTGACTTGTTGCTGTGTTGTTGTGACTTGTTGCTGTAACTTGTAGCTGTGACTTGTTGCTGTGTTGCTGTGATTTGTTGCTGTGGCTTGTTACTGTGTTGTCATGTCTTGTTGCTGTGTTGCCCTGACTTATTGCTCTGAATTGTTGCTGTGTAGCTGTGGCTTGTCATTTTTGCTTGTTGCTGTATCTTCCTGCTGTGTTGCTGTGTTCTGTTGCTGTGTTGCTGCATTGCTGTGTTGCCGTACCTGCTCTCAGGCAGAAATCCAACCAGAACGGTCCCGATGACGAGCCAGGAGAGGCCGATGAGAGCCAGCGTTAACCTGCAGCAGCAGCAGCACAGAGGGAGGAGACGTGATGAAGTCTGTTCTCTGGAGTTAAAGGATCATTCTGCTGTTTTACAAACTGTTGTCTCATGTTTTAGTTGCTTCAGAAACACCACAGCGCCCAGTGAGGGCCAACTGGTTTTGGTGCTATAATTGATATGTTCTGAAATATTGCATCACTGGTGTAAATATCAACCAGTGTGGACACTTGGATAAAAATCCAGTTTTAGATGTGTTATTATAAACGTTTGTAATAAACCTGATGATCCTTTAAACACACAGCAGCGCCGAGGACGCTGAGCAGCAAGTCGGTTCTGACCTGAGAGGGAAGAGGATGCAGTAGCGTACGAAGACGCCGATCCCCCAGATGATGGTAAGGCGGAGGCTGATGTAGCGGAAGTTCTGGTTGGTTCTGGTGAGGAGGTTCCAGGAGGCCAGCTCCTCGGAGGAGAAGCGCTGGGTCACCTGGTCGTCCACGATGCTCTCCACACCTTTCTTGTAGAAGTAGAAGGCGTCGCTCAGAGAGAACTCTCCCTCCGCCAGCGAGCCAGAGCTCCGCAGCTGCCCCACCTCCTCCTCCATCGACCCCCCCGCTCGCTCAATGATCCCTGGGACACAATCACAACACTGAGGGTTATAAATGGATCAATACGTCAGCTGATAGGAGCTCACTGCAGGTGTGTGAGTCAGCTGATCAGTAATCTTTGATGCCAGAGAAATGTTTTTGCTCATTTTAGCCACAGAACCTGCGTGTTTTTAGTGGCACATCGTGGTGTCTCCCAGCAGCGTCTGAGCCACCGTACCTGGGTTGTTCATCAATACACTGTGCAGTTCCCAGTGACGTTTGAGGTACCAAACCTGCGTACTTTTCACCATCACATCCTGCTTCCCAGCAGCATTTCAGCCAAGGAACCTGGGTGTTTTTGGCAGCACATCGCTGCGTCTCCCAGCTGTGTTTTAGCCACTGAATGGTGATGATAGGTGATTTTCATCGACATATTGTGGTGTTTCTTAGCTACATTTGTGGCACTGAACCTGGCTGTTTTTAACTGAATGTGGGTGTTTTTTAGTGGAACATCCCAGCGTTTCCTAGAAACAATTGTGGCACCAAACCTGGGGATTTTTTAGTGGCAAATCACATTGTGGTGTTTCCCAGCAGTGTTTGTGACACTGAACCTGGATGTTTTTGGCAGCACATCGCAGCGTCTCCTAGCTGTGTTTAAGCCACCAAATCCTGGGTGTATTTCACCGACCCAACGCTGCTTTTCCAGCGGCTTTTTTGCCACCAAACATAGGTATAAATCAAAACATGATCTTTTTCTAACCACAACCAAATGGTTTTTGTGCCTAAACCTAACCACACATTAACCACAGCGCTGTTGAGAAACATAAAGTTTCAACATATCAGTGGTTCACAGAAACGTTTAACGCCAACATTTTTCTGGCGACTGGGTAGCAGCTGCAGTCTGTATCCACGCTTCTGTGTAAACAGGTAACAGAGGATAAAACTTTACTGAGGGAAGTTGTTGAGCAGCAGCTGCAGCACAAAGAAGGAAAGAGTGCAAATAAAACAACATATAAAACAATAGAGATCAAGATGGTGCAAAAACCAAATGCACACAATGTCAGAAATGTAAACAGGAAACAGGTCTGGTACACTGTGTGCTGTAACGTGCACACCTGACTCATCAACTACAACTAATACAAAAGCTCTGAGTATTTAAAGAAACGTAAAACTAAAGCTCATCAGCTGCTCAAAGGTTTTTATTAATAATATAAACGCTTGTGTCTCTGATGGGAACTCTGTGTGAAGCTTGAAATGAGATTAAACGGAGCAGCAGCAGAAGAACAGTGTGCGTTATGTTAAAACAGAAACAGTCTGAGGATCACGAGGATGATGACCTCCAACTGATGTTTAACCCTTTAATGTACGGTGACGGTTTCCTCAGCCTGAAGTCATCTTCTACTGACAGTCTCTCATTTGTATTCTTGAAGCCTATAGTATATTAAATACCACTGAAACCAAAGAGTGTGTGTTTAACTCAATCAAATGAAAGAGCAGAAAGGTTTGAGTCGACATTATTCAGCTCTGATAATCAATGTGCTGCTGTTTTCTCTTTTTTATCACTGTGACGTTAAACTGATTTTTTGGAGTTTGTTGATCAGACAGATCAGTTGTTTTACCACACTATAAAAAGTGCTACAAGTAAAAGTCCTGCATAAATAAAACCTCACTTAGATCCAGTGTTATCAGCACAATGTACTTAAAGTTTCAAAACGAAAAGTTGTCATGAGGCAGATAAAGGCTTCTTTGGTGGTGTTTTATTGTGTAGATACATTAAGTCCGACAAAACGAGTGAACAAACGTCTGTCACTGCAGTGAAGATATTTTGTTTAAATTTTAAACTAATGCTTATTTAAAAATGTTTTATAAATAAATGTAACTTCAAAACACAAAGAATAAAACAGATTGTTGCACGAGAATTATGATTGCTGATTAAGAATGTTGATCAAAACAGGAAGTGTCATAGTCTGAGTCCATCAGCGTCTCCACGGCTTGCTCAGTCTTAAAGTTCTCCATCTGCACCATTTTTTTTGTGCAGATTAAAAGCTGCAACATTTCTGTAAACAACATCTTCTTCTTTGTTTGTTTTTAGGCACGGCAGAGCTGTTCTATTTCACAAGATGTGTAACAGCGCCCCCTAACTTATAACAGTGAAAACACAGATTGCTGGAATATCTCGTCGATGGCGGGGATAGTATTGATAGTAAAGGCTGCCGACCTGTTGTGGTCAGTTCATTCTTGAGTCCAAGTGAACATTTGTGCCAAATTTGAGGAAATTCCATCAAAGCGTTCTTGTGATACGGTGTTAACAAGAATAAGGTGGATGCAAGGCCACAGTGATCTTGACCTTTGACCAACAAAATCAAGTCAGTTCATCCTTGCATCAAGTTGACGTTTGTGCCAAATTTAAAGAAATTCCATCAAGGCGTTCTTGAGATATCACATTCAGGAGAATGGGACGGATGGACGGACAACCTGAAACCATAAAGCCTCCCTCGGGTATACAAACACATATGAAAGATATGGAGGTGGTGTTCACAGGCCTTTTTTTTCACCCACAACAGCACAAACAAACTAACAGGTGGAGGCAGCAGTACACCAGCAGCCCCCACACTGTTAAATCACTGTTCTTCTCAGTGGAGTCTGGCTTTGAAGAGAGCTATATAATGGCTTCAGTTTCCCGTCAGAAGTCGCTGTCTGACATTAAGGTAGTGAAACTAATATTGAGTTTTTGTTTTTTAGGTGTCGAAAATAGGCTTTGCTGCTGCCCCCATCCACAGCAGTACATTGCTTAGCTTCCCTGTCGGTACTCCTGTCTGCTTCTCCAAACTGGGGATGAGCCGACCGCCATCGACTGTAGTTAACACACTGACTATGGATAAGTACCTCATATAACCCCACTTCAAAAAATCTGAACTGTCCCTTTAAGGACTTCAGTTATTTGAAGAGTTCATGACATTGTGAGTTTTCTACCCTCGCGCTACACGTGCGCCCTCGATTGTTTCTAAATGTCGTGAACTCGTCTGCGTGGACAGATTATGGTGCTTATGTGTTTATGTAAGAGGACTTTATGTTTAGTATGTGTGGACTGCATGAGTGTGTAATGAGAGTCAGACTGCAGCTTGTTAAAGGGTTAAACACGGAGTGGACACACACACACACACACAGAGCGTCAGTGTTTCACAGTGAACTCCATGTTGGCTCAACTCTGCTGTTTGATTACAGTTATGTAATCTGCTGTTGCATCATCATCCTGAGACCAGGCGTGTGTTTTTCATGCTGCACCCCAACACCAGACACTGAGCTGACCAATGGAGAGGCCACACTCTCTCTCTCTCTCTCTCTCTCTCTCTCACACACACACACACACACACACACACGGATTGTCACATGACCTTTGTCTGCTGCTGAAACAAATCCCTCACACGCAACATCCTGAGAGCACCAACGAGGAAGTCGAGCTGCTGCTTCAACACTTCACTCATGACTGACTCGTGTTTCACAGATCCTGAGTCTGATTTATACTTTAACCTGAATTTAAAAGCATCGCCACATACCAGGCCAGATCTGATTCCAAGTGGACGTTTGTGCCACAGTTGAAAAAAGTTCCTCAAGGTGTTCTTGAAAGATCAGATTCACGAGAAGAGAAGGATGTACGGTCACAGCAACCTTGATCTAATCAGTTCATTGTTAAGTCCAAGTGGACGTTTGTGCCAAATTTGAAGAAATTCCTTAAAGGCATTATTTAGACATCATGTTCACGAGAATGACACATGGGAGGTATGAAAATGGGTATCAATATAATTTTTTTTAAACTAAAATTATTTTATATTTTATTTATTTTTTAATTTGTTGTCTTCCAATTTGTACTTAATGCATGTCTTTTAATTTAATTTATTTCTTTTACTAAATTTTATTTATTGATTTGTTTTTCCAACTTTGATTTTATTTATTTATTTTTCTAGTGGGTGTTGCTCTAGAGTCACATATATTGTTTGTTAATAATGTTTTTTTAACTGATTATCTGAAGTTCTTTCACACGTGTGTGTGTGTGTTGTCATTAATTAGTGTACAAACTGTTAATTAAAGCTCGTTATGTTTTGTGCTCTTGGTTGATGAGGTGACTCACCATTGGGCAGAGGCACGGGCACATTGGGCTGCTCCTGGCGTCCCCTCTGGATCCGCACCGTGGCCCACTACAAAGACAGTTATTTTCAGATGACCTCTGACACCATGCCCACTGCTGCTGCTGCAGCACATTTCCTAACTCTCCAAACATGTGAAGTAAGGAGTGAAGAGGGCGACTACACGCTCTCCTGAGGACACACTGTCTGCAACTGAACTCTGATTCTGTTACCTCCAGGATCTGGACCAGGATCTGGATGTAGACGCCGGTGACCCCCAGAGAGAGGCCGAACATGGCGGGCAGCATGATGAGGAACACCACCACAAACATCCACACCTGGAACACCCCCACAGCCACACACCACAGGTCGTCCATCGCTGACAGCTGAGGCAGCTACGACTCTGCAGCTCCAAGGTCACGCCATCATCTGAAAACACACAGCGCCAGATTTAACACAAGAGTGTGTCCATCCTCCACTTTGGTCCAGACTGAAATGTCTCAACATCTGCTGGATGACTGTGATGAAATGTGCTTCATCATTCTTGTTCTCTTCAGGATGAACTCTGGTAGTGTTGCACGGTATACCGGTACTAAAATAGTACGGCGGTACTAGAGTATTCCAAACGGTACTATACTGCATTCGGAAAATACCAGTACTTTGAAACTGATTCAATTCATTAATTTAGTTAATTTATTTTACTCATTTATGCACACAAACGCCTTTCTTGTTCTTATTGGAGCACAGATTGCACAAGTGGTGTGTATGACAACACCTGTATCAACATTTGCAGCTGGCGCACGTGAACAAAGACGAGATAGTCTGCCTCGCAAAGGGAGACAACACGAGACAACACAAACTTGGTGGAACATTTGAGTTACCAAACCGTGACGTCCGTACCGAAAAATCATGGTTCGGTACTTACCGAACCATGATTTTTTTTGGTACCGTTACACCCCTACTATTTATTGTTCTAAAGGTTTGTATCCAAAAGGACTTTTCCTTAGGAGAAGTACAGAAGAGTATCGAAAAGTATCGAAATTCATATTGATATTGGTGCCGAAACAAAGATTTTGGTATCGTGACAACACTAAACTCTGGTGATCCTCTCCTTTTCATCTGTAATGAAACTAATACTTTGCTTTATGAACAAACACCTGCAGAGTTCAGAAAATCAGGGAAAAGTCACTATTTTAACAATTGTTTCATCCTTTAAGTTATTTTTCAATCAACTAGAATTGAAGGTTTTGTGAAGTTATAGTGACCTTGACTTTGACCTTTGACCACCAAATTCTATTTATAAGTTCATTCTTGAGTCCAAGTGGATGTTTGTGCCAAATTTGAAAAAAGAAATCCCCTGTGTGTTCTTGAGATGTCACGATTACAAAAATAGACAGACAAGGTAACAGTGATTTTAACCTTTGACCTAAGATCACCAAATTCTAATCAATTTATCATTGAGTCCAAGTGGACATTTGTGCCAAATTAAAGGAAAAAAATCCCTCTCGGTGTTCGTAAGAAATTGCGTTCATAAGAAGTGGACAGAGGGATGCACGGACAACCCGCAAGCGTAATTAGCGTAATGCCTGTCTCATTTAGAGGCCTGGTCTGGTTGCCAAGCAGTTTATGTTTTAATAGAAGTTCTTTGGATGTTTAAAACGGGTTGTTGGCTGCTTCAGATTATGTGTCCATAGCTTGTTTACCCTGTCGGTTATATTCCTGTAGTCTGTAGGAGTCCTCAGATCAAAAGAGTCAAAAGGTGTCATAACTCTCTCTGATGCTCTGTCTGTCGGAGTTAGATCAGATGAATGATTCATAACTGATTTATTATCCAAGGCCTAATTTTTATAAAAGTAATATTAATACTAGTTTAAATAAACAAGTTGATTGTATTTCCTGATCTTTGCTGAGCAACAGTTTTGTGTGAAAGGAGTTAAAGGCCTGTCCCAAATACAGACCTGTTGATTTGGGCTATTAATTGAAGTTTTACGATAGACATAAAGAAATTATAGGGAATAGAAATAAGAAGTATGCGCGTGGGGGGGGGGGGGGGGGGGGGATGTGCATTATGCTACAATGTATAATACAATGTATACATATTAAAATTAAATTTAAAAAGTAAGAATTTGAGATATGTTGAGTAAGAAATAAAATGCGAAAATCAACAAATTTGTGCATTTTGTTTTCTACTGTAGTGTGACATCCTATGGGTACGTCTTAGATTTTAGTATTTGTATTCTGGTACATTTTTATGTATTATCTTAGTATCATTATGTTTTAGTTTACTGTGTTCTTACTGCTCTCGTGCAATGCTCAAATAACCTGCTGCTGTAGCATAAGAAGTTCCTCATTTGGGATTAATAATATATATCCAGATATTTATATCTCTGTCTAAAATTATATCTCTGCAAACAGATGTTTTGGGGGTCTTTTGTTCAGACAAGAGACATTTAAAGTGATTGATTTAACATTTTTCAGTAAAACAGTGACAACAATCATTAGTTGCAGTTACCTTATTGAATAAAAAAAAGTATTTAAGCAATTTAAATATGTGTTTTTAAACATTCTGTGGAACTAATTAGGCTGTAATTAAGCTCACATCCAACTTTATACTCAGATGGTTTTCATTAACACTCATTGTAAAAGTAGGCTACTAGTCAACTGCGCTCAGTTGGTGGAATATAAATAAATATGTTTGGTCAATTACTGAAAACAATTCTACGAACATCATGCTTCCATTTTGTTGTTACTTTATACTCTTACTATACTTGACTTCTTTTTTAAGGGAAATATTAAACTTTTAATTTGTAGATGTTTCGATAAAAACACGTGATTATCTTACAAAATATTCTGCATCTTTATTTCAATAATAATCCAATAATAAATTATTTTAAATGAATTCTGAAAGGGAACATTTTGCAAAGAGAGTACTTTTAAAACTTTAAGTACATTAAGCTGATGATACTTGTTCAGTTTTACTTTAATATAGAATGGAGGACTTTAACACAGTTGTGTTTAGTGTTACTGGAGAACAGGACCTAGAAACTTCTTCACTATTTATCTGAGTAAATGTGCTGATAAGTGAGCACGGGCTGAACCGTTAGTCGAAGTCTCAGTGTAATGTAAACTACAAAGTACACAACAGTGACACAAACAACAACAACAAACGTGTAAATATGTGTAAATAAATACCTGAGAGTGTGTGAGACAGTCCCCGCGGTGTTAAATGTCCTGATGCAACAGAGAAACTGTCTCACTGTGTCCAAATGTCTCCAAATGTCTCCAAATGTCTCCAACTGTCTCCAGTGTGAAGCCAACTCAGTACTGAGTTTAAGCCCCGCCCCCTCCGTTAGCTCTGCCTCAAAATGGCGGACTGCGGCCGAAAAACGCAGAACTTTCCTGCGGCTGTTTCGCGCCTGAGTGACGCTGCTGAGTTCACCCGTCAGTGTCGTCAACAAGCAGCATGGCGGAGCCGACTGTCCGTATGTCTGGGATTGTTTTAGCGTCTCTCATGTTCCAGCATGTCAACAGCGATTCCGACGTGGTGAGAAAAACACTCTTTATTAAAATGTACAATTTTTAAATGGACCCTGGTGGGCGGGTGGTTTAAGTGGTGGTGGACGGGAGCTAACGTTAGCAAACAACTCAAGTGTCCCAGCGCTGTTAACAAACTTTTAAGTTGATTAGTTTTTGTTAATTTGTTTAATTGCTGTGGTGTTTCAGCTCTGAAGAAGTGTTTGATGCTTTGGAGAAGCTAAAACTCCCGCCAACTTTTTAAAAACCAAGCTAAGAGTTAACAGTCCTGACACACCAGGGTCCATTTAAAAAACCTCAAATTGAATATGGCGCCGGTTGTGGACCATAATATGTAACTTGTGAGATATGACTAAATATATTTTTAAAGTCATGCGGGTCTGCTGGTAAATTCGGGACAGGTTTAACCCAACAAGTGATTTTATTTGAGTCTAATTTCAACATACACAACTGGAGCCCAGTTACCGCCCACTGCTGTGTTATGGTGGAGCTACTGGGAAGCATTTTACACCACAAATGTTCAACCATACAAACTGAATTTTAAATATATTTAACGGGGCTGCAGTCAGGATTTTAGCCATATCATCTATCATTATTTAGACTTTATATTTGGGCTGCAACTCATGAATCATTTCATCACAAATTAGTCTGTATAAAGTGGATTAAACAGCTGATAAGAGTCCTGACTGAGACCAGTAGAGACCACATCAGACCAGTTGTCACGTCCTTACTCTGCCTCCCTGTGATTTTGAAATAGTAGTGTTGGTTTACAAACTTCTGGTTCATCATATCTGGAACAGCTCGGGGTGGGAGAATAAATCTATACAGCATAGTATCGCGATATTTTTGTGAGGAACAGCTTTCCAAAAAACTGGAAGTTTGCTCTAACTTTATCCCTGTCCTTCTGTTTTCCTTTTATTAAACTGAACATGTAGCTAATCATATATCTGTTTATTCATATCTGTCACTGCACTGTAATTTTATTTCCCTGTTTAGTCTATTTTATTAAATTGTTTGGCTGCAAGTAGCCTAATTATTATTATTTATTTTATTTTTTTAATATAGCCGTACGTAGTGACTCCTGGTTTAAGCCAGCGTGGAGCTTTTAAACTTTCTATGTCACCTTCTTTAAAGAGAACCAACAGGTTTCGTGATGTCCAAATATCTGCAGGGCTACGCCCTTCCGTTGCCCCCTATTGGTCAATTGCAGAAACATTTTCGGGGAGTCCTTCAATAACCTAACTTTTATGTTAGTTGTGTTTTTAGTGAGCTGCAGACATTGTTTTGCCCCCAAACAGCGCTTTTTATGTCTTTTTGTCCATACGTACATATGTCCCATTCTTGTGAACACAATATTTCAAGAACGTCTTGTGGGAATTTCTTCAGATTTGGCACAAACGTTCACCTGGACTCAACGATGAACTGATTCGATTTTGGTGGTCAAAGGTCCAGGTTACTGTGACCTTGTCTGTCTCATTCTTATATATGCTATATCTCAAGACTGCTCCAGAGTAATTTCTTTAAATTTGGCACAAACATTCAATTAGATTTAAGAATGACCTGATTTGATATTGGTGACTCAAAGGTCAAGTTCAGTGTGACCCTGCATCCATCTCATTCTTGTGAACACGATATCTCAAGAACAGTGTGAGGGATTTTTTTTTTTAAATTTGGCACAAACATCCACCTGGATTCAATCATGAACTGATTTTGGTGATCATAGGTCGAAGGTCAAGGTCAGTGTCACGTCATCTCTCTCATTCTTGTGAATGCGATATCTCAAGAATAACTTGAAGAAATTTCTTCAAATTTGGCACAAACGTCCACTTTGACTGAAGAATAGATTGACAAGAATTTGGTGGTCAAAGGTCAGTGTGACCTCATGAAACGTGTTTTTGTCCATAACTGAAGAATCCAGACACTAATTCACACCAAACTCGACACTAATGTCTAACAGGATAAAATAATGAAGGTCAAAGGTCAGCTTGACTGTGACATCATCATGTTTTAACGTCATACCTGAGGAACAGAAGGGGAGACATTTGGTCAGATACTGAATTGGTGACTCTAATTCGGAAACATTAGTCATATCTTAAAGCACCTTGAATTGCCGTCTTATTTAAGGCGCTATACTAATAAACTTACCTTACAGGTCAACATATGCTTCTATTAATTAAGTTAAAAAGACCCGGCGCTGATTTTCCTCTGTGTGTCGTCACTCTGCAGGAGGGTCTGATCCTCGGAGAGAGTAAATTTGAGGAGCAGATCACCATCAGCGACTCTCAGGCCGATCACATTCACATTGAGGAAATCTACAGTGAGTTAAACATCGGCCTCACGATGAAGCGTCTCGTCCTCACTGTCACATTATGACACATCTTTATTTCTTTTTACAGACATCCAGAAGCACATCGCCTGCCACAAACTCAACCAGTGAGTACAGCAGAGGAGATTTAATGTCTGTAATATCTGATCTCAGACCTGATTTCATCAAACACGGCTGCTCATCAGTCTCAGCATGTCTGTGTTGTTGCATCTCGTCCTGATCTCTGTGTCTGTAGCTTCTACAACAGTGTGGGAGAGGTGAACATGGACGCTGTGAAGAAACTCCTGGCCGACAACAAGCAGGTAAAACATTTAAAGGATTTAACTGAGGAGTTTAAACATGTCATAACTGTGTTTAACTGTCGCAGGAGAGTGTGATCGGCTGGTACAGACAGCGCAGGAACTCAGACCAACAGATGACCTTCAGGGAAAAGATCGTCCACGAGAAGCTGAAGACGTCTCTGTCCAACCCTCACATGATCTTTGTGCTGCTGACGCCCAGCAGGGTGACGGCTGCAGGCTCCACCCACAGGATGGAGTACGCCGCCTTCATCTCACGCAGCAGGTAAAACCAGACTTCAACCAAAACATGTCATGGCTCTTCAGATTTTGTTCTCTGTCATTTTAAACTGAATTTCTGTGAGTTTCTGGGAGAGAAACTTGAATAAATTCATCTGTTTGAAGGAGAAATGTGTTGTGTCTTCACAGACATATAAAGTAGATTATTAGAGAGAGAATATGATGCATATCCTCCTGAGACTTGAACCTTTGTTTGGTATGCATCTTTAATTTCTCTGAGCTATTTAAATCAGTAGGTGAGTGTTTGTTTGATTTCTCTGCTGTGATGTCGATGAAATAAAACGTCGGGCCTCCTGAAGGCACTTCATGAACGTTCCCGTGTCGGTCAACAACCTGGGTTTACTGGAGCAGCTGGCGTACTGGAAGGTGTCTGCTCCGTGCTCTGCAGTGGGTTATAACGTCACCATGAAGAAACACAGGTACCACCCACACACAGGACAACAGGTTAAGGTCATGTAAGGTCAACTGTGAGTTTTATAGTCATAAATGTAAATTTATCAGACGTCACATCTTCTAAACAAAGAAACTGAGCTCAGAAAATAACAACTGTCATCTGCCTTCATGTACCTGTGCACCTGTTGACACTGCAGTATTATTGTTTGTTTGTTCCTCTGTATCCAGCTCTAAATTCTTCTCGTCCAACGGGCTGCTGAGGGAGGTGAACGACGTGAACACGATGAACGACTCTCTGCAGACGGAGCTGCAGGTAAGGAGCACTGTGTGTGTGTGTGTGTGTGTGTGTGTGTGTGTGTGTGTGTGTGTTTTGACTTCCTACTGCGTCACACACTCATTGTTTGTGTTTGTGTGTTGGACAGAAAGCGTGCAGGGAGGTGGAGGAGAGCGAACGTCTGGTGGAAACGCTGCAGGCTGATGTTTCGGCTCTCAGGAGGAAACTGGGTGAGAAGAAGAAGCAGAGTGCAGCAGGTAAAGGTACGCTGGTCGGATTTCACTGAGTCGAGATATTCAAGTAGATCAACTGTGACGGAGACGATTAGTCAGGAAGATGATATTCAGTAAAAACATTAGAATCTAAACATAAAACAGTGCAAGTTAAAATAAAGATAAAATATAAACATAAATAAAATATATAAAATAAAGTCATAAATTAAACAATGATGGCAAATGAAAACAGGGTGTCCTAAGTGTAGAGGTATATAAATGTAAAGATGATATTGCAGTTATAACGAATATAGATGATATGATTAGATTTAATTAAGATTTAGATTAAATATCTATTATTTAGATTAAATATTTAACTTTTAGATTTAACATTTACATTAAATATTCAATATTGGATTTAATATTTAACATTTAGATGGAGATTTTGTATTTAATATTTCGATTTAACAGATGGAGATTTAATACTTAACACTTCTATTTAACATTTAGCATTTAGATCTGACATTTAGAAGTGGATTTAAGATTTAACATTTTATTTCATATTTAACATAGAGTTAAGATTCACATGTAGCTCTTGTTATAACATTTAAATTTAATATTTAACATTTAACACTTATATTTAACATTTAGATTTCACATTTAGATGTGTTTTTAATTTTTACTATTTAAATTTAACATAGAGATGTAGATTTTGTAAATGTAGACACACAAACTTAGATTAACATTTAACACTTATATTTAACATTTAGACTTGAACATTTAGATTTACCATTCAGATGTAGATTTAACATTTAGATTTAATATATTTTACATATTCCACATTGGTCGCAGTTATAACATGTTGTTTTCCATTAATTTCTGTTTTAAATGTCAGAAAAATGAGCTAACATTTAAAATTTATCAGCTAGAAAATTATAACTGAATTTTTACATTCAGATTCATGGTAAGTGTAAATATCAGAGGTTGTAAGAGCTGTAAAAACAGGAAGTCAAAGTATGTAAAGTGTCAGAGTTCAGGTTCACTCGTGTCGTCAGAACCACAGAAACTCAGTTTCAGTCTTCATCTGTTGTTGTTGTTTCAGTTGCAGACAACTATCGACCTGAACAGAAGAACAACCTGCGGCTCCACGACGCCGTCAGAGCTCTGTTCGCCGGCTCGCCTCTGTTCCACACTCAGACTGTGACCCTCGAGGCGTTTCCTGTTCCCAACAACTGCTGCAGCTCTGAGCAGGACGAAAAAGAAGAAGACGTCTCCACGACGACACTGAAACACTCGGACACAACAAACTCTCAGGAAACGCTCTCCCCGCCGCAGCCCGGCAGGACAAACTGTCGGAAGAGGCTGAGGGAAATGGCGCCAGCGGGGAGGGAGAGCAAACGCAGGAAGAGCAAATCTTGATGGGAGATGACAGTTCATACTAAGTTATGTGTTGATGGGACCAGACTGTCGTCACATCAGTTCGCTCTGGTTGTTGACTGATCTTAACGTCACTAAAGGAACAACAGCAGCTCTGATGATAAACGGTTAGCTTCACAAACATGTACAGACGCTTTGATACGTTTTCAGTATTGTTTAAAGATGATAAAGATTTTTGTTAAAACCTGTCGAGTCATTCATTTAATGTTGTGTGGAAACAAGCTGAGAGTCTACAGTCACACTGACACAGCCGTGCTTTGAGCTAAATGCTAACATGCTCACAATGACAATGCAACATTTGAAGCCAGTTTTCACAGTGGCCAAACTCGGAATTACAACTTCTGGGTCCGTCACGTGATCAAGTAGGTAACCGTACCTGTAACTGCACCTGGGGCAGCTACGTGACTCACCTACGCCTACATGTCGGTCTACGATCAGCTTCCTTCTCTCCTTGGCCTGGAAGCGAAATTGCTATGTTACATTTAGTTAGCTATGAAATACAGTATTAAAAGCGAGGTGGTTAAGGTTAGGACTCGGGTAACAGGAAGGCTACATCTCGTTAATTACACTAATCCTAATTTAACGAATAGCTAACATTAGTTATGAAATATAACTTTATAGGAGAGGCAGTAAAGTTTGGATAAAGGTAATTAGAATGTTACATTTCATTACTAATGCTAATTTTGTGATAAGCTAACATTAGTGATTAAGTATTACGTTAAAAGAGAGGTGGTTAAGGCTAGGACTCGGGTAATGGGAAGGATACATCTTACTTATGCTAATCCTAAATTAGCAATTAGCTAACATTAGTTCTTAAGTATAACGTTACAAGAGAGGCAGTTAAAAGCTACATCTGGTCACTTATGCTTATCTCAAGTTCGCGTTAAAAGAGAGGCGGTTATGGTAAAGGTAAAGAGAAGGCTACATCTTGATACTTGAACAAATGCTGATTTAGTGATTAGCTAACGTTAGCCATGAAGTATTAGGTTAAAACAAGAGGTGTTTAGGGTTAGAACTAATGTGATGGCTGCATCTTGTTACTTATGCTAATGTTCCTTAGCTAACGTTAGCTATGAGGTATGAATACGGCCCCCGGTCACAAAACGAAATGCTGCGGACCAACAAATTTACAGTTTCTTAAACATAGCTCCTCTTCACAGACGGACAGCAGACACACAGATCTCAGTACAGACAGATTTAATAACAAGTAATCACAGACTGAACAAACACTGATCACTAATCGATCCACTAATCCTGACGTTTGACACCACAGATATTTGGATCCCTCATGAACTGTGGATGTTTGTGGGTCACCGACATGAAACCTGGAGAGAGACACAGAGACAGAACGTTGTGTGACTGTTTCCTGTAACATTTAACAACACGCTGCTGTTCTGAAAGTTTTCCCAGAATCCTTAGAGACATTTTGGGGTTTAAACATCACTTTAACAAAGACGTACCCATTGAGTGAGCTTTCTTTATGGCTTTAGAGACTTCCTTCTGTTTCCGTCCACACAGTCCTGAAACACAGACACGACGTGAATCAACTGAGAGCGGACTGACTCTGCTCCAGTCTCATGTTCAGCTGCTCACCTGTGATGTGTCGGCCGTAAATCCTGCCGGTGTGAGGCGAGATGAACTGAGACAGCAGCTGGAAAACACACAGGAACAGGAAATACACTTAGTGGTGTTCGGCACTTTGAGGGCTCCGTATTCTCCAACGCTACAGAGCCACGCTAACCAACCAACGCTATTTTTTTTATCTTGTGTGCAGAAGTTAATTATCTTGTAGGATTTTTTTTTTCTTGAGCCCACAAGTTATTTATTTAATTCTCCCAAAATAAAAAGTATATTTTTGGGGCCTTAAGGAGCTCCATATTTTTCAAATCTGTTGTCCCTAAAGCCTCAAAAGGAGAGATTTTCCAAAGCTACACAGTCCCTAAATGTAATTTGTTTTGTATTTTGTTCGCACAAGTTACTTATCTTGAGGGAACCAGTTATCTTGTGCACACAAAATAAAATATAACTTCTTCTGGGACTCTCTGAGCTCCGTACAAACCAACCCATGAGCCATCCACCCTGACGCCTCGGCTCTTGTAACTGAAACATGATCTGAGAAAACATTTTAATCTCAGCTGAACTGAATCAGCTGCGTTACAACCTGACATTCCTGAGTAACCTCGTTGTGTGAACAGGTGTGTTTACATCAGCGTTTTTGTTTTCTTTTGTGAACACATGAAGTCTCCAAAAAGTTAAACACATTTACCTGAAATCACTGAACACACTCAGACTCATGATCTAACAGTGTAAGAGCTGCAGGTGTTTCGCTCACCTGAATATTTTTGTAGTCCACTGTGACGTTGCAGAGGAGGCAACCTTTCTCTGGCTCTTTGTACGGGTTTTCCATTTTAACAAACTTAAACATGGAGATAAAATCACAGTAACTTAACTACATTAATAATAATATATTACTGTAACAATCAATGTAATCACTTACAGGCAGTTACTCACGTGCTGAAGTACAAGTTTGAGATACTTATAGTTTACTTGAGTTTTTCCATTTCATGTTAATTTATACTGATTTATCTTTTCTGTATTTTTATTCTTTATTTTGATGCTTATATTCTCACACTTTGACTTAAATAACATTTTTCATGTAGGACTAGAGTATTTCTACACTGTGGTGTTACAGTAAAATATCAGAGTACTTCTTCCACCAGACACAGACTATATGACCCACCATGTCCTCTTTGTGTTGGACCACATTTGAAGCTGCAGAGACTCTTCTCAGACCTGCAGGAGCACATTTACATTTTCAAAACAGCTCATCAGCATCTCATGGCTAACGTTAGCATTAGCAACATTATCCGCGTCTCACACTGAATTTAACTTAGAATTAAAACAAAAAGAAGCAGTTTATGTTACATTTAATAAAATCCATGACACATTTACACATAACAACATTTCTGCAGTCCTACCTGTGTTTCCATGTTGTGATAAAACAGGTTTTAGCCTATGTAACCCTCTCACAGCGAGCATTTTGACCTGACACCGGACAGGAAGTTGTCCTCCGTGACTTCCGGTGACTCGAGTTTTCTAGTAGTTCCTACCGCTCATCAAGTTATCGCTTATTAATTGGAAATCACATTTAAAACATAGCTTAATTTATAAATCTAACACTATGTGATTTTGATATTTTTGTTTTATTTTTCTTTTCATGTAAATGCAATTTAATGTTTTCTTTCCGGAAAAAAATAAATGTTACCCTTTTCAAAGATATAACAAAACAAGATAGTAACGTTACACACACCGGAATACGCGAAGGCGTCGCGTTACCACATCTTACATCTTAAATTAACAAAAAATAAATTAAAAATACCGACAGTTATTATGTTTTCAGTGTCGCAGCGGTCTCATCAAGTAACGTATGTGACCGCTCACAAGAGTCCGTTTGGACTTTAGGTGATTTTAACCCAACGAAACATGTTAATAACGTTTACGCCACGGCTTAATGAAGCTAAAGTATGAAATGGAAGAAAAAAAACATGCCGATTCAACAAATGTATTATTTGATAGTTATCAGCTTTAATTTGGATAACTTTTTTGTAGTTTACAATTATTAAACTAGTAAAAGTAAGAAAATCTCTGTTAGCTCAGCTAGCCGTCATGTGACCATTCACCAAAGTCCATATGGATTTTTAGTATTTTTGACCCACTGTATCATGTCAAAGACTTTTACACCCCGAGCTAATGAAAATAAGGATTTATTGGCAGACAAAAAATACGCCGATTAAATAAATATGTAATGTGTTATTTATCGGCTTCATTTTAGTTAACTCATCAGAAGCTTACAATGAGTAAACTAATAAAAGTAAGAAAATCTGGCTTAGCTCCGCTCGTCGAATGTGATCATCCACCAAAGTCCATATGGATTTTCACTGTTTTAAACCCACAGGATATATTCAAACACTTTTTCTACTGTGGTTTAAAATAAAATAAGTATAAATTGACAGAGCATGGCGCCGACTAAACAAGTGTATCATGTGGTAGTAATCGGCTTTGTTTTGGGTAACTCATAATAGCTTATAATAGCTTATAATAGCTAAACTAGTAAAAATTGAGGAAGCTATCTTGGTTAGCTCTGCTAGCTTGTTAACCGCTAAAGCGAAGACGTGTTTAACACTTTCCAACGCGGTACAGCTACGATAAAGTATGGCATTTGCAGAAAATGGTGCCGATTCAACAAGTGTCTCATGCAGTCCTAATCGGTTTCATTTTAATAACTTATCAATATAGCTAACTTAGTTAAAGTAAGAAAATCTGGATTAGCTCTGTTAGCTAGCTAAGGTGTATTGAACCCCGGTTTAACAAAGATGAAGTATGAATCGGCAGAAAATGGCGCCGATTGAAAAAGTGTGTTATGTTGTAGTTATCGGCTTTATTTTAGGAACTTAACTGCAGCTTACAACAGTTTAACAAGTAAAAGTAGGGAAGTGCCGGTTAGCTCCGCTAGCTAATTAACCGCTAAACGGAAACGGAAGTGAAAGCGGGATTTCTCTCTTGGTGTGACGTTGCTGTTGTCAAATTTCAAATGTGATGCTCGCCGAGCTGTTGGAGCCTCAAAGCTGAATGAAGCTGCAAGTGACACAGTTAACAGAGATACTTGTGAATTATCATGGCGGCAGGCTTTTAAAGGCGTTTGAGGTTAATCTGTAATGTTTGTGGAGACTAATGAGCTCGCTGAAGGGACAAATTAGGGAGTCAAACTGCAGCAGTAAGCTAGGCGAGCTGATGCTAACGTTACCTGACCAGGAACCGTTGGTTTATTCTGGCTTTTATAACTGAACAAAGGTGAGTCTGAACTGCGGCAGAGTCTCCTGTCTGTGAGCTTGCCTTGTGTTCCAGTTTCACTGAGGTTGAGACTGTTAAACATGCAGCACCAGGCTGACACACCTGGGCAGGTATGAACGCTGCTGGGTGGCAGGAACTCAAAATAAAAAGAGTTTGTCCGAGGAAGAGGTCGAGAGTCAGCCTGAGGACTCACCTGTCACCTGCCAGGAAGAGAGGAGGAGGAGGAGGAGGAGGAGGAGGAGGTACCTGCCTACAGCAATGTCCCCAACCCTGGAGGCTCAGCAGCATCATGGCTGACACACAGGCTGCTGAGGTTTGTTATTCTGCACACAGACACACACACACACACACACGCTGACCTACAGTTTAAACTGTTAGTGTTTATGGTCAAAAATAATCTGCAGCCACCTGGATAATCTGTAAAATGTCATTTGTTGAAGCAGATTTGCCTCATAGATGTGATTATTTTTCAGATTTCTTTGTCTTCTGTGATAATAAACTGAATATTTTGAAGTTTTAGACATTTTATAAGAGAAAAAAGATATTTTAATATGTCAACTTGAGCCTCTGACAGTTTATAGACCAAACACTTAATAAAGGAAATAAATGGTGGATTAAACCACTGGTTCCCAACTTGCAGGTCTCATCCTCCACTAGAGGTCACAAAAGCTTTACAAGGCCATCTTGATTTATTGATTTATTTATGATGGTGCGAGGACCTTATTGAAGTGTCTCTTCCTGAGGGGTTAGAAAAGTCATGAAACTTTGCAAAGTGCATCAGAACTGGGAAAGTTTGATATTTTGGGGTTTTTGTGCTTTGATGTGACAAAATGACTCGATATCGCCCCGTAGAACATTTCAACAAAGCAGCCCCTGCAGTATTTTTTACCTAGAGGTCTGAATATTGGGAGACACATTTAACATCCCAACGCTTAAAAACAAAAGGTCTCTTGGAGCCGCACCCTAAACCCAACAGGAAGTCAGCCATTTTGAATTAACATAATTTTTAGGGTATTTTTAGCCATTTCGAGGTGTTGTACGTTAACAAACTCCTTCCAGAGATTTTGACGGATCAATTTCAAATTTGGTCAGTCGAATTTCCATGTTTTGCTGTTGTAGTTTTTAAGTAGTGTTTGAGAGCAATTTTGCCGCCCTAGGACCTGCCTCATTACAACCTCTGCTTCATTATGTTTTTCTTTACTTCCGCACTCAGTATTTTATCTATTTCCTTGATTTGATAAAATAATAAAGGGCTCCTTATTAACAACGAGTTCTTGTTCCAGAGCTCTCAGTTTTTGTGATGCGCATTTGAACATTGTATTACTCGCACAAGTTTGAACGCTAGAATATTTTGTGTTGCCTCGCTTCATACGCTTGAATAACTTAAGTCACATGCGTGTGAGATCGCTGAATCGAAGAATGAACTTCCACTGGTACGTCTTCAGTGTCATACGCTCCCAGAGGGTCTCGGTGCTGATTGGATATCGCGGGGCGAAATTGTCGCTGAGGTTAAAATTTTCAACTGACGCAAAATCATGCTACGCACTTCATTCGCACTGTTTAATTTGTGTATGTTGTGTCATTTACGTCACGTCCGTCACATTTGTGTCTAATGGTGTATTTACATTGACTTAACATGTAATTTACTTGCGCAAATTGCTTTATTCACGCCCGCTGTGAACACAACATAACTCATAGCGCCACCTAAGGACAACAGGAAGTCAAGTCTCATGTGACGAAGATGATTCATTCTGCACTCTGACTGATAAAATAAGAAAACCACTGTCAGACTTGACGCAGTCTCAATCGACTGAGGGGTCTCTGACTGATTATTCAAGTCTCCAGCTTTCAGGGGGGCCGTAAAGTACAATAACTGTAGATTAATGCTGTTGTGTTGTGTTGTGTCGTGTTGTCAGTACTGCAGTGACAGTGAGGACTTGTTTGGGGACTATGACAGCATCCTGGAGGACAGCTCTCTGCTGGCGAAGCTGGACGACGCAGAGCAGAAGGAGAGGCAACGTGATGTCCAGCACTCAGCTGAGGGTCGGCCGGACTTCACCACTCTGCGGCCGTCGAGAGACAGCGTCCAGAGACAGTCCTGCGCAGAACTCCTGACGGACTCCATCTTGGACGGCCTGGGAGACGAACCCTTCGAGGACTTACCGCCCAGCCAGCGTCAGTTTCAAGAACAAGTCCATGCGAAAGCCAAGAGGAGCAGACTGCAGGACGGAGATCAGACCTCCACACCTCTCAGAGACACAAAGATGGAGGATAAAACCAGGAGTCAAACCAAGACGAGGAGGAGCGTGACGGACCAGCTGAAGAGGACAATGCTCTGTAACGCAGCAGCGCCCTCTGCTGTCTCACGCTCCGTGGTGCTGAAGGAAGCCGTGGTCTCTGAGGAGATCAGCGTCGCCATGCAGGCCATGGAGACTGTTTCTGCTGAGACCACTGACCTCGGACCTTTCTTTGGACTCCCCACCAAAGTCAAAGACCTGATGTACAAACTCAGAGGAATCAAGAGTTTATATGGTAACGTATGTTTGTTTGTTTCCTTTCAATCGATCAGTAGATCGACAGAAAAATGTTTCATTGTTAAAGCAGTCATGACTGGGTTGGCCAGTCTGGTCCCGTTGGTCAGTGTTAACTTATTCAAACTAAACACCAAACTGTTCACAGAGAATATCAGAGTTTGTACTTCCTGTTTCAGACTGGCAGGTGACGTGTCTGAACCTGGATTGTGTTCAGCGGAGGAAGAACCTGATCTACTCTCTGCCCACCAGCGGAGGGAAAACTCTTGTAGCAGAGATCCTCATCCTCAGAGAGCTGCTGTGCAGGAAGAAGGACTGTCTGTTCGTCTTACCGTACATATCGCTGGTGCAGGAGAAGGTATGGAGACACACTGTAGAGTAACCTCAACTCATCAGGGTAAAGAGAGACCTGGGTACAAGAGTAAACACCTTCACTCAACATCTCACAGAGCAGATACATTCTTTTCGTAATTAAATATATGAGTCCATGCTGAGAAGAACGCACAAGACACGATACTATATAACTTTTCTTTTTTACATTTTTGAGTCTTTAAATGACACAGATCTTCTTTTTGCATGTTGTAAACTTAAAGGGGAACTTCTTCAGTTTTCATCCTGGACCCTATTTTCTCATGTTATTGTGTCTTGGTGACTAACGGAGACAGCACTTTTTTAAAACTAGTCCAGTATTGAGAGTCAAAGTG